AAATTGGTAAGAGAAAGGTGACGAATGAATCGGTAGGAAGCGCGAAATTTCTAGATATCGAATTTGAGTATCATAAAAGTTCATTTGTTTCCTGAACTCTTTACTCTTTTCATTTTCGCCATCATTTCCGCCAAAAACGCAATGCCCACTTCACCTACGACCCCCATTTCCACTCTCTCTGTCCCTAACATTGCCCAGTCATCTGTTATTCTATGGAGCAATTCTGAACACGCGCGAGGCTGGGGACCGCAGGTCAATCCAGTTCTCCCAGCTTCGAGTGCGATGGAACGTAAACTGCCGAGCTTCTTTTTTGTATTTGCTATTTATCCCAGTCACCCACCTTCCTCAACGACTTCTTCGTCTTCTTCGGATTCCTCGTCGTCTGTGAGATCCTCGTAGTAGAGCTCAACCCGATCAACTAACTGCATATCGTGCTGGCATTCTTTACAGTACCTGCGCAGACTGAAGCACTGAATACAATAGTATTCCCCGCATGATACACACAAGCGAGTGTTCCTGAAACTTCATATTTGTGTGTGGAGATCAAGAAGTTCCTGATACAAATAAAACTACAATATGTTCAAACTTGCTGGAACTTTTCGCTGGGTAATAAGAAATTGCTTCGATCCCTCCAGGCTTAAAAGAAAGCAATCCCACGCCGCTAAAGCTTATATTAAAAACAACCTCGTGAAGAGTTCCAAACTAAGGTGAAATTATGTATTTCTAGGTTAATCCAATCCATTCATACTGGGAAGGGTTTTCTGCGACGGTTGGTAAACATCATCCCACTAGGTGACCAGTGTACAATCTCACAATTTGCCTATCATGTTTTGCCCGCTATCTTGTCGTATGTGAACGGTAATCGCGAAAACTAAGTGGTCGAAGAAAATGCATAAAAAGGGCGGTATGACTTTAGATTTCGTGTACGGAGGACGGTTTCGAGGCCATGTTTGAGTTGCTGTATAAGGCATGTGAACTAACGACTCATCGGCGACCCGCAGATCTTGTGCATTGCATATGCTGCAGTTCACTCTGATATACCCTCTCGATTGCATTCCACGGCGAACGATCGCTTCTCTGCCTGCCATTTGGTCGTCGGCTAGTTGTTTCTGAAAGAGTGGATGGGAGCATTTAAATAAGTGACTTCTATTTCTAGGCTATCGAGAGAGATAAGCAGAGTACGAAACTCAAGCCTAAGCGCCTTTCCCTGCAATTTCGTGCGATGAAGTTCGTACATTCTGTGAAATTACGGACAGCTTCGCCTTCTCAGGCTGAGCTTCACTTCTGCGAGCTAATCGTGAGGGTAAGCGGAGTGTGGTGATTGTGACAATGGCCGTCACTTTCATGCCACGGTCCGCCTCACTGCGACTGCATTCCTGCCCAGGCTAAGCGAACCTTCCATCTTTCAAGTTGGTCACATGGCGATTTGTAACTTGGGGGATAAGACTTGCAGATCGGCCTGCCTCAGCAATCTTTGAATATGCCATGCGAATGCCGCTACAACTCCCAATGGAAGTAGAACGCGCAGCGCAGCTCAAAAGGAATTAAACAATGACCGAACCAATCGAGTTTTGGCATTTTTCCCTACGTGGGAACCCCGGCGGACAGTGATCCCACGTGCCTCAAAATCCGGCGCAACCGCCTCAGGTCGTTCAAGCAGATTTTAAAGTGATAACTACATAAATAGTGATCAATACAAGACCAAATCACTAAATTGTAATGAGCACAACCTACTCGGGGGTCCAGTAGTGGAATTTCGATCGAAAGACGTGGAATAACAATGAAAAAGGGAAATTTGCCAGAACTAGCTGTTGCAAAAATATAAATCCACCTGGAAAGTTCTTGAAAATTCGCATGATAGGGTGTTTCTGAAAAAGCCTTTGAAAGAAAAATGTGCTCAATATAAATATAATTTCGAGTGTAAACACCAACTTCCATTTCGAAAACACGAAAATTTTTTATTTTCATTTTTCAGAAAAGGGCCACTTTGCCGATTGTGCAAAAATATAAATCCACCCCATGTTTCTCGGTTGAACTTCATTGTTATTTTGGCGTAACTGTCAGGTTGTTTCCACTTCCTCTTTCTTAGGTGATGACGGAAGTAACACCGCTATCGGACTCCAGAAAAAAGGCGAAATCTGCAAAAGAGTGGGGAGATTTGCCATGCAGACAAATCGCGCGTGATTTGAGCCCCGTTAACGTGGTTGTTAAGCATTTCTTCAAGAACTCTGCAACATGTGGAATACAGAAGAGAATTGAACCCTTTTCTTCGCGTTTCAGTTGCGATGACCGTAGTGTTATGGGTAAAAGCAGCCGATTCTCCCAAGGGGTGCTCAGGAATCAACCTTCAAAAAAACCTTATTCTTGAAATCACCGTTTGGCGTGTGTTAGAAGAACTACTGAGACCACTGTTCAACGGAAAATGAGTAGGACACATTTAAAAATCCGGAATCATCGCAAAAATCAAGCCAAGTTTCCCAAGATCAGTGGTCGATCTGGCCGGAGCGAGGCCATATTGGCCGCGCAGTACCTTTTGATGGCTGTCTTCACTTTTCTTACTGGTTTCCTTTTTCAATATGAGTTCCTGTCTCTGCCAAACACACTGCAAAAAAAAAACTGAGAAATTCAGACAGACAGTAAAAAGTAGCGTGTAGAAAGCCGAACTTAATGCAGCTGGCGCAGCATGCACACATTATGGAAGAGTTGGCTTGATTTTTGGGATGGCTTTGTGTCTTCAACTGTGCCATACTCATTTTCCGTCGAAGAGTGGTCTCAGAGTTCTTCTAACACACTCACGCCAAACGGTGACTTTCAAGAAATTAGGTTTTTTGAAGGTTGATTTCCTGAGCAGCCCTCCTTGGGAGAATCGGCTGCTTTTCCCATAACACTACGGTCATCGCAACTGAAACGCGAAGAAAAGGGTTCAGTGCTCTTCTGGATTCCACATTCTGCAGGATTCTTGACGAAATGCTCAAAAACCACGTTAACGGGCTCAAATCACGCGCGTTTTTCTGCACGGCAAATCTCCCCACTCTTTTGCAGATTTCGCCGCCTTTTTCGGAGTCCGATAGCGGTGTTACTTCCGTCATCACCTAAGAAAGAGGAAGTGGAAACAACCTGACAGTTACGCCAAATAACAATGAAGTTCAACCGAGAAACATGGGGTGGATTTATATTTTTGCACAATCGGCAAAGTGGCCCTTTTCTGAAAAATGAAAATAAAAAATTTTCGTGTTTTCGAAATGGAAGTTGGTGTTTACACTCGAAATTATATTTATATTGAGCACATTTTTCTTTTAAAGGCTTTTTCAGAAACACCCTATCATGCGAATTTTCAAGAACTTTCCAGGTGGATTTATATTTTTGCAACGCAGTGTATTCAAATTGACCCAAAAGCAAGTTTTAGTTGATTATTTCAATCAAAACACACATGCTGTCATCCCTAAGGTCCTGTATTTACTTATGTTTACTATTTAAATCTTCACATTCATTAAAAGAAAAAGTAATCGAAGGATTTATTAAGCTGAAGACTTCGTATGGCCCGAAAATCCTCCTCTAAATTGAAGCATACGTAACCACTCTAAGGGTCACTGTGTTTGTAGCTACGTCAAGGTCTCTTCCATGGAATTAATACAAGAAACTTCCAAAAGAATCAGGCATGCGCGAAAAAAATGAGTGTCATAGGTGCGGGGGATATATATCCCGCACGGTCCGACACGGCCTGCAATGCGCGGGATATATATCCTCCGCGTTGTCGTCAATGTGTTAAAACAACCACTCTGCTGGAGGCTTCATCAGTTATCCACTGATCGTGGAGTGTGCCTTTGACTGGATAACTTCCATGAGCTTCTCCAATAAATGCTAGCAGAATTTGGATATTCACCGATGGCAATGTTCCAACAGCCCTAACACTTCGGAATACCTGGAGGATATTACTACGTTTCTTTGCTGTTCATACCCTCTGCTCGTTCATCATCGCGCCAAGCACATTTTTTCTATCTTGCAGTATCCGATTGTACAGCATCAAAGCTCTCGGCCTTATGCGATCCGGGAAGAAGTATTCAGCCAACACTAGAGTTTGGCGCGACATCCATGCCTGAAAAATCCTCATTTTCCTCCTTCATTTTTGTCAATGCGGTAAGCAAAAGATTTCAAAAGTTGGCCAAGTTCCAAGCATCCATAACTGAGACGGCGCAGTTGAATAAGGCGGTGAAGGGGTGGGCTTCCAAAGATTCAGTTGGTTGCAACTGGAGCACGGCATCAAAGTACGACAGCGTTCCTGTAGTTCTTTGCCCAAAGAAAGGATTGGACATGGCTACCAAAGGAAATGAGAATAAAGCTTGAAATTTTTTTTTGGGGGACAGATAGTCACTGGAAAACTATAACCACTTTTGATAGAGATAGCTTCCAATAGGGAGCAGAAAATGATGCATAGAAGAATAAAATAAACATATGAGTTGGAAGAACAGAAACAGAAATTCAGAGCAAACAAAGGTGTTCGTTCCTGCGTTTTTTAATATACTACTTATTTGGTCAACATCTTTCTTATTACGGTACGAATATTATGGCACGTCAAACAAACTGCTCAGTCGTACAGGGTAGAATTGCCCATTCATTTTCAAGAGATCGGACATGAAAGAGGAGAATTTGTGGTCTGCCAGTATGCGTGACGGAGAAGAGAGAGATGGGAGTGGTTTGATTCGAGGTATGCACGGAATTTTTTATAAAAAATCCGCACAACAACCTTTTCGGACATAGTAGAGATAAAGCGTAAAGCGGATCCAAATGGATAATTCAAGGAAAGGCTATGGTGGGGCGATTTCGGAAGCCATTGCTTATGTGCGATGACCGCCTGCCGAGCAAGAATAATGGCCACAAACATTTCTTTCTAACACCGTGTAGATATCAACTAAAGGTGACCTGAAACCGACAAAGAAACACCGCCGCAACAAACATCAGGATAATTGTCCAAAAAGTGTCTTTATCCGGTTGAGACGGACTAATGAAGCATTCTCTCCATCTGTAATCAACCTTTTTGAGTACAAAGCACCAGAGCAATACCGTAGAAGAGCCGTTAGGTACCGTACAAGCACGATTACCTGTCGTCTCTATCACGAATATCCGATGTCAGTGGTGAAAACACATCTTGAATACTTCTCATCATTTTTGCGCTCTCTCCTTGGCCTGATACCTGAAAACAATGGCTCTGACTCTTCAATAGAAGACAAGGAACAAAAAAATTGCCCTCTGGGAAATCTTTGCAACTATAAGTATGTCAGCTGTGGTCATCGGATGGAACAAAATTACGAAAATCACACTCTGGACGAGGGTAGCTCGATCGGAAACAAAGGGAGACATGGAAAGAATTTTGGGTTGGGACGGCCACGTTCCACGCGGCTCATTAAGAGAAACATGTTAAAAGATTCGAATTCAAAAATTATTAAAGACAGTACGATCGATAGAACAGGATGCAGTAGGAGAGTTAAATGTTATTGCCATAGGTGAAAAAGGCTAAAAAGTGTTTCTAGTGAAGGCTGAGAACCAACTGGAGTCGTTCGCCAACATTGATGGCAGAAATACGGCGAAAATGTGAATGCGTAACACCCTTCAGATTCTTCGAATTGTATACGAAAACAGACGCATTCTTAGTACTTTTCGTTTTTATCGTGAGTGATGGGCCTCAAGCCAGTGATTTATGGGTGAGATGGAATTACATGCTCTTGTGGACGACTCCTTAGAAATCCCCGAATTTGTTACTGAATACCCTTGAACTCTTTGCATAGTAGCTATACGCAAGCGTTGGGCTACAGATGTCAGGAATCTGCCTAGCTATGTTATGAAAGCGACAAGAGTAAGCTCGCCAAGAAGTCGATCTCACGACCTCTTCTCCGTAAGCGTCGACCACAGCCTCCTGCGCTTTTCTGCTTCGATAAGTTCCTTGTCAGAGAAGAGTTTTTGCAGATAAGGAAGGCATCTTTGAGCTCAGTGTTCCAAGGCACGCCTAGACATATACATCCCATTCCATTTGGCCGTGTTGTTCAGATGACCTTTCTTGGTAAGGGAGAGTGTAAATCATTGATCGATTTCTCTTACGAGGATGTGG